TCGCTGGCCACATTCTCAAAATGAATGGCAACCAACATCCCAAAATGGCTTTGCCCTGGGCTCCGGAGGGAAAGACAAGACGCGGTAGAGAGAGAAAAAGCTGGCGCAGATCCCCAGAGAGAGAAAAGGAGAGCCTTAGGTTTTACGTCGTGGAGCGAGACAGCAGGTGAGAGGCAAGAGGTGAAAGTGGTGTAGCCCGCGTAATTAGCCCAATTTTACCAAGAAAAAAAAAGAATATAATGCGCTTATAACTGCTTTCGCTACCTCGAAATTTTGCACTTTTTTTTATGAAAGTAAATATCGTCTTCAGCATAAAATCCCAAGGGCTAAAACTTTCATTAATTGCCAAGTTTCACAAGCTCTTTAGATATTTGGATTACATCCATGTCTAATATAATACCTTCTCTGCAAAAAGTAGCATGGGAATGTTGTGCTTGCAGTGACTGCTAAGTTCCAAAAACGAGCCGATACGAGCTTTAAGGTGTGTCTGGGTGATGGGGCTACTTTGCAGATNTGACTGCTAAGTTCCAAAAACGAGCCGAGACGAGCTTTAAGGCGTGTCTGGGCGGTGGGGCTACTTTAGAGGTCGCCATCAAAGGTAGGCGAGAAAACCACAGAAAATCAAAGCTGACGGTGAACCGCGATTTATTGCTTCAAATAAACTAACAATCTTAAACTGAACGAAGGTTCTATCAATTCTATCAATTTAGCGTAACAAGTTGCGTAATGTATGGTTAATACATATGGTTAAAACCTACATGAGACAAACTAAGCAATTTCGAGCCCATAAAGTAACAAATACATCAAAAATAGCTAGTTTGAACGATACGTTAAAATTCGACGCGAAATTCAGTCAAAGAATTACACAGGCACACACAAAAAAATCTGATTAACAGCCAAATACTCTGGAAAGTAAATCCTCTTGATAGGCGTTAATTCTAGAGGCGTTAAATCCATTTTCTCTTTTTGACTTATAGATCAGTTAACGCTGTACTGTAGTATTAATTTGTGTTCTGTCGCCCATAACTAGAAGACCTAACCTCGACAAAATGACAAAGGTACTCGGTCCCGCTCAGCCAAGGGTTGAGAAAAATAACCTTCAAGAGCTCGGTCAAGCGAAATCGAACAAAAAAAAAAAATACTTTTAAGGGACAGTAACTCTGCTTTCATGTGCGCGTGGTGACGCCAAAAGGTCTGATTACAAAACCAATACAAACAAAAGTAACCATTGCTAATACGTTCGTAACTAAGATATAGAGATTTAGATACAATTATTAACAAATCAAAATGAACCTTTTTCTAGTGTCCTTAACAGGTAGTGTGGCAAAATGTGACGTAAAAAAAGAGTCAATAACTCAAACTATACAAAATAACTGATAAATTCCGACCTGATCCGTTATTGTATTTCTACTGCGGCCGTCTTTCCCTTAATCTCTGGCTAACTGCTTATTGAGCAAATTCAGGCACCGGTGCACAACGGCTTACTTAAGAGGCCCTGCGCCTAAGAAAAGACCGATGATTTCCGGCTAAAAAATAAAATCGGCTGATTTTTATCTCCCAAGCAGATGTTACCGAATACTATTTAAAAATGAATTTCTTTTGATTCAGTTTCGTTTTAAACCAAAAATATTGAGCCGCAAACTTTTTCCATCTGATAGCAGCAAAATCAGGCCGAAAATAAGCCCCCGCAAAAAACTGTTCAGAAATTACTATCGCAACG